CTGACCAGGGACCGAAGAAATGGAGGTGCGCTCATATCAATCTGAAATGGCTAATAAAATCACTCTCATCCCACTCACTCCTGGACATCTGACTTTGCCCCCCCCAACATAATGGATGGCAGAATGGAAGATTTTACATACTTTGCAGCTGGATCCTGTCAGATGAAGGGGAAAAACACTACTTTAACAGTGATATAGCTGAGGATTATTTAAGGCTGTCTCAGTCATGGCATGGGGACAAGGTGAAAATTAAATCATGAGACATGGCAGAAAAAAAGATATAAGTTAGATCAGTGTTTCTCAACCTTAGCAACTTTGAGATGTGTGGACTTCAACTCCCAGAATTCCCCAGCCAGTATACCTAACACTGATCCACACATCTTAAAGTTGCTAAAGTTGAGAAACACTGGTTAGATACAAGTAGGGAAAGGCTCTAATTTGCAGAAACTTTGGTTTGTATATAGCAGATTCTAGTTTAGCAGTTGAGACATGAGATTCCACACAGGAAACCCTAATTTAACTTGTTGATCTGATGTAACTGACAAAAACCATGTTTATCCTAATTTCATAGGATGATTTATTCTGAATCAAAAACTCCCAGATCCTGCTCACTTTCTCTCACGGTTATCTTTAGGCTATCCCCTCTGTCAACAACTGTGGGCCCATCTAATGAACTTGACCTATCTTAGGGTTTTATTTCCCTCTCAGACAGCAAATATACTCCCTTTGCATATTACATTGATCCCCGCGCCCCCTGTCTCTCCCCTCCCTGTATTTATCCATGAGATCAGAAGAACAAAGGCATTTTTTAAAACAATCAGAAAGTACACATTACTCAGAGCTATTAAAGTCCTAGTGCAAGAGAACGTAATGCCAGAGGCAGCAACACCACTCCTGAGACAAAATATTTGCCTAAAAGTTATTGTCAATTTTTCCTCAAACAATCTGAAAGTCATCCTCATTTTGCTAAAGACATGTTACATAACATGGTGATTTTTTTCCCCGTCTGATCTTTCTTTTTTGAGGAAGAGGTTCAGGGTTGTCTCCTTTTGAAGCAAATTCAGTTCAAACTTAACAAAATTTATGTGCTGGGGCGATCTGATGTTCAGTTAACTCTCTGTGTTAAACAGTTAAGAAATATTTGTTTCCAGAAAATGAATAGGATTTGGGAATATTGATGGGACCTCTTGATAAGGGAATAATAAATATGCTGTAACTGACAAGCTCAGTGAAGGTCATCATTTTGAGAAGAACTTAAACACATTGGCACACATACACGCTCAAATACACGTTGGTTTCTTCCTCCTCTTGTTAGAACAAGAGCAACACAGGAATATTTATACTGACAACATAGAATGGCGTCATTAAATCAACAACTTGTATGTTACCTGATGCTTCTGAGTTTTAAGGACAGACAAGCGCCAAGTGCTTGTATATCTGCCAAGTTCTGTGTTCTTATTTAAGAATACTAGACTTTAATTTCTTTTGTTGCATACACTGTATGTCAACTGTGCCTTGTACTTCACAAAGGGCACAAAGACAAAGCACGGATTTTACAGATGTGTACCTGTTTCTGTCAGCGAGCAAGGGAAAATGCACTGCCCACATAACATGCTTGTATCGTTCATTTTCAAAGGTACTAATTGCTTGAGTAAACAACTGATACACTTTTCATGTATGAGGAAAGTACAGGGAACATTTCTTATAATAATCTTCATCAAACTTAATAGAAATTATAAACATTTCATAGAACTTCTATCATCACAGAAACTTAAAACTCTGATTTCATTTGTTCCTGTACATGCCCCATCTCTGTTTCATAATTTAAATCTCTCACATTGATTGTATTTTTTAGAAATATCGCCCCATTAGGGCCAGGTCACAAATGGAAGAGTATTGTAATGGCATGTGGGAATGACCTTGGGAGACGGGAGGAAGAGCCGCAGACTAGGCAACCATCATGCAAAAGGCATTCTCAGCCCACAGAAGCAAAAGGGGCATGGGAAGCATCTCAGAAGGTTTTCTGAAAAGTAAAAGTAAAAGTAAAAGAGAGGAGAAGTGCCTTCAGACTTGCAAGATTCTGTTACTTTAATCTTACAATAAAGGTAGTGCTCATGGTTTGTGCTTTTTGTCTGGACTATCTTGAAGGGCTGTCAAGTATGGACAACCTAGAATTATACAGCCAGTGTTAGGAAAATGAAAGTTTAGAATGAGCTGAGATTAGCAAAGGATACAAAATCAAGTTTCTGTGTTCAAAACACACAGAAAAGCATACCAGCTACTCAGTGGAGAAGGCTAAATGCTAACACTTAACAAAGAAAAAACCAGAGCTATCCAACTCTTATTCAGTCAAGAAAGAAAGAAAGAAAGAAAGAAAGAAAGAAAGAAAAGAAAGAAAGAAAAAAGAAAAAAGCACCACCAGGAAAGGAGGATGAAGGGGTAGAATTTAAGTTTGATGTTGATAAAATTTGGTCAAGGAATACCTCCTTACTTTGAATTTAAATTTCGAGGATCAGATGAACTGCATCCTTGGAAACTAGCTGAAAGATAGTTCCTGGTGAAACCCTTATATATATATTATCCTGTTTGTATTACCAAACGACTGGAGGCCAACAAATGTTACTTCTGACCTTCCAAAAGTGGAAAATCCAGGGAACCAGTAAGTCTGACATGGATCCTGAGAAGGTTCCAGAGCACATCATAAAGATATCAGTCTGTAAGCAACATGAAACCAATGCTGTAATTATCCAGTCAAGAACACATCTTGCTAGACAAACCGTAGCTTATTTTTTGGTGAGGTCATTTCCTTAATACACACTGGGAATGCTGTGGACATAATACGCCTTGACTTCAGCAAACATTTGACAAGCTAAATGTAAATTGAATGGTCTGACAGTCAAGCAGATGAACAGGTTGGTAGGCAGCATAAAATATTTTGCTTTAGTGCTCCCTCTATGACTTGGAATCTTTCTCCCATGCAATGCATGGAGCTCAGCAAACTAGCATACCGGAGGTAAACATTTATTGTTTCATTATTTAAAAGTGTTTTAGGCCAGCAAGATTCTCTAAACAACTGATAATTAATGAAATAAATACCAGTTTTTGCCTGGAGACTCACAATCTGAAAGACACGACACAAAAGGATAAAAAGGAATTGGGAGAGAAAATCTCAGTACTGATAAAATGATATTTCTTACCTAACATGTATACAAATCAGAGGCAGAAAGAGCTAATAGGATAATTTTCTGAGCAGTTTAACATTGCTATGCAATAGCAAGAATATATAGGATAATGCTGCATATGTAATACTCAGAAGTAAGTCATGTTGAAATTGGAGAGACATTCTTAGATAAACATGCACAAGATTGTAGCGGAAGGAAAGTTGGATAAATAGATCAGTGATTTAATAGAAATATTAAAACTTCCTATCACAGAAAGAAAAACTATAACTAGGTACTGTATACCATAAAACAAACATTGTATTAGTGAGTCACCAGATTAAGGAAAACATATATTTTTTCTCTCTTTCTAGTTGGGAAGCATGTGATCTCATGAGGTTTTTGTGATATCATTCAACTCAATATTGTTACATCACCAACCCTAACCTCTTGAAACTCAGGTTTTGGGCTCTTGCTAAGTCTGTGGTCAGCAAGAGCTATTTCCAAATAATCTGGCTATGAACGGATCATTGTTTAATATGAGTAAGGTATGCACAATCAAGTGACTAAGTATAAATTAATTGTGGGTCCGTAAGACTCATGGCCCTACGGTACTTACAAGCTTCAGGAAGAGATCGCCAAATCCTAGTGTTGAAAGGAGCTACAGTATTTAGGTCTCTGAGTCCAACTCCATACTCAGCACAGGAATCCAGATTAAAGCATCCTGCCAGATGTGAAGCCTCGACTTGTACACACCCACTGAAGGGGAGTCCCCCACTTCTCTGGATATTTGGTACCACTTCTACAACACCTCCTTGGTGGTTGCTTCCCTTCTGTTTAAGAAAAAAGCTGAAGGCCATCTAGTCCATATTTAGAGAAGCATCTATAATTTTTGAAAACAACATGGCAGTCAGGACCTAGTTCAAATCTTTCCTCTGCCAGGAAGCTGAGCCTCAACATTTCATGGAGCTCTTGGGTCAATAAAACAGGAGGGCTAGAATGGGACAATAAATTTCGTTTACAATTCCTTACAGAAGTTAGTAATTTCTACTGAAGGGCTAACGGAAAATTGCCAATTATCACAGTATCTGAGCTAACACTGATGAACTAGCAAGATAAATCATCTTTCCTTCTTTTATTAAACATAATACATGCCTTCTCTCTGTCATACATAAAAAACGGTTAACAACGTAATGCCGGCACAACTAAAACATGATTTTAGTAGGAGAACTTTCTAAGGTTTACCTCCGGTTTGAAAACCAGGAAAGAAAACTAGAAAAAGATCTGCTCTGGAAAACGCTTACATTTGCACGTTGACAAATGCAATTAACATTTTCAAATGGCTGCTTTTAGATAAAGTAGCCCGATAGTTTGTGATTCAGCGTCGAGCCAACCCGGACCCTGACTGACAATTTCTGAACGATCCTTTGGGGGTAATTTACGGACTGAGAAGGTCGCTACTCCGGCTCAGGAGGAAAGACTTTTCGCGTATTTTCCAACAACAATCACCAGAAGGACAATGAGCCGATGTCAACACGAAGCACAACATCCCTTTTTATCGCCGCCGCCGCCACCAGCCCCTCCCTTCCCACAGCTGGCTAGAACCCGCGAAAGAGTCACAGCCCGGGGAGGCGGCGCCCACCTTAAACCTTGCCCTCCGCTGCGCACGCGCGACATCGCATCGCCCACCCTACCAGATCACGGTATTCCTTCAACCCGTTCCATTCGCGCGCCCCTTCTTCGGTATTGTGACGCAATTTATTCCACCCATTTTCTAATTCACGCCCCTCGGGCGGTGCCGCCCCCTTTCTCCCACCCCCGCCCTCGCTGGCTGGCTGGCTGGGTCGCTCGTTCGCTCGCGCTCTTGGCCGTTTCCTGCTCGGAGCGCGTACGGCGTCGTGTGCTTCCGTCCCGGCCCCTCCCCCTCAATCCTTTTCTTTCTCGCGTGTCAGACGGCGGCGGCGCGAGCGCGGCTCCCTTGGCGGAGGAGGGCTCGAAGGGGACTGAGCCGCGGTGGGAGGCCCCGGCGCCGGGCCCGTTTCGGAAGCCGAGGGGGCGGCGGCCGGCAGTTGGGCGAGTCGGTTCCGTCGGTGAATTCGTCAGCTAGCCGCGGCAGCAAAATGAGCATCGAGATCCCGCCGGGTTTGACGGAGCTGCTGCAGGGCTATACCGTGGAGGTGTTGCGGCACCGGCCGCCGGATCTCCTGGACTTCGCCGCCGAATACTTCAGTCGTCTGAGGGATTCCCGCGACCAGCAGCTGCGCGAGGGGGCGGCCGCCAGGGGCAAAGGAGTCAACTTCGATGGGGAGCCTATGCAGACCGAGTCAAATGGCGAGGAGCCGCGGAGGGAGTCTGCCGAGGAGGAATCGGATTCCGACTTCGAGCGTGAGTTGCAGCCAGGAGGGGCCGGGCCGGGCCTGGCGGAGGGCGGCCGGAGGGGGTCTCGCCGCGCGCTGCCTCTGGCCTGCGCAACCAGATGCCCTTTCTCCCCCTTTTCCTCCCCTCTCGGAGAGGAGGCGAAGATCCTCGCGGGCGGAGGACCTGCTTCTGCTCGCGCCCTCCGCCGGCCCAGCAGCTCTCCGGCGGGATGGAGCCCCGGCGAGTCAGCGCCCGCCGGTTGCGCTTCCGACATGTCGTGCGAATGTGGAGAGCGGCGAAGAGAGGCTTGTTCTTGTACTGGGCTCCCCGCTGAGCAAAATCCTCCCTCCCGCCTTCAAGTGAACGGTGGGAGGCAGGGTATAAATTTACCAGATTAATCACCATTAGTATATCAATGTCAGAAAACGGTGTGTGTGGGTACGGGGGGGGGTGTCGTTTGAATGCGGGAAAGGAGGTGTGACCTTGCGTATGAAATACAGATCCTTA